ATTTACATTATTTGGACTATTGTCCTCATAAAGCATCGCCATATTCATTACAACGTTTCGGCCCTTCAGTATCTGTCTATATTTCTGAGATGAGGTGGCGAATACACTATTTACATTATTCGGACTATTGTTTTTCCATCTTTGTCGCCATATTTATTACAACGTTTCGGCCTTTCATTATCTGTCTATATTTCTGAATATGAAATATTATGTACATATATTTACATTATTTTTTACTATTGGCCTCATCTTTGTCGCCATAATTATTACAACGTTTTTATATTTCATTATCTGTCTATATTTCTGAGATGAAATGATTATGTAAAAATTTTACATTATACGGACCATTGTCCTCATCTTTGTCGCCATATTCATTTTTGCGTTTCGATATTTCATTATCTGTCTATATTTCTGAAATGAGGTATTATGGAAAGCTAATTACATTATTCGGACTATTGTCCTCATATTTGTATTTTTATTACAAACGTTTTTTCATTATCTGTCTATATTTCTGAGATGATATATTATGTACACTATTTACATTATTCGGACTATTGGCCTCATCTTTGTCATAATTCATTACAACGTTTCGGCCTTTCAGTATCTTCTATATTTCTAAAATTCTTTTATTTTGTACATTATTTACATTATTCGGACTATTGGCCTCATCTTTGTCGCCAAAATTTATTTCAACGTTTTGGCCCTTTTTATCTTCTATATTTCTGAAAATATAAAGTATTATGTATACTATTTTTTTTATTTTGACTATTGTCCTCATCTATACGCCATATTTATTAACAACGTTTCAGCCTTTCAGTATCTGTCTATATTTCTGAGATGAGGTATTATGTACACTATTTACATTATTCGGACTATTGTCCTCATCTTTGTCGCCATATTTATTTCAACGTTTCGGCCCTTCAGATATCTGTCTATATTTCTGAGATGAAAATTATGTACACTATTTTGATTATTCGGACTATTGGCCTCATCTTTGTCGCCATATTCATTACAACGTTTCGGCCCTTTGAACAGTATCTGTCTATATTTCTTTAGATGAAATATTATGTTTTATTTAAACATTATTCTTCTAATTCCTTTATTTGTCGCCAATATTTTTTTTACAACGTTTCTTGTCTTTCATTATCAAAATTATATTTCTGAGATGAATTATGTAAATTTTTTACATTATTCATCCTAAATGTCCTTATCTTTTCATGCATATTTATTTTGTACGTTTCAAAATTTCAGTTTCTGTCTAAATTTCTGAGATGAGGTTTATTTAAAAATTTACATTATTTGGACTATTGTCCTCATATTTGTCTTCCATATTCATTATTGGTTTCGGCCTTTCATTATCTGTCTATATTTCTGAGATGAGGTATTATGTACATATTTCTCCTATTCGGACTATTGTATCTTTTGTCGCCATATTTTTTTTAACTTTCATCCTTTCAGGTATCTATCTATATTTCTGAGATGAGGTATTATGTTTAAAATTTACATTATTCGGAAGAGGTTTTTGTCTTTTAAAGGCCATTTTCATTACAACGTTTCGGCAAATTTCATTATCTGTCTATATTTCTGAGATGAGAAAATTGGTGTACACTATTTACATTATTCGGAATTTAGCCTCATCTTTGTCGCCATATTTAAACAACAAATCAACCTTTCAGTATCTGTCTATATTTGAGATGAGGTTTATGTACACTATTTACATTATTCGGACTATTGGCACCATCTTTAGTCGCCATATTTATTAAAACGTTTCGGCCTTTCAGTATCTGTCTATATTTCTGAGATGAGGTATTATACAATTATTTACATTATTTGGACTATTGTCCTCATCTTTGTCGCTATATTTATTAAACGTTTCGGCCGTTGTACGCTTCAACCTTCTTCAGGTTTTTGGAATGTCGAACTTGAACCATATATTTTGTCTACTGTGCCATTTGTTTCAAAAGGACACATGGCAAAGTGGAAAACCGCTGTTAAATCCAGTGACAGGACCCAAAGAGTTGTGGAGTTCAATATACCTATTAAGCAGTGGAGAACTTGGATAGATTTTTAACAGGAGATAACTGGTAACTTTACATCCAAAAAATTTGGCAATTAGATAAAACAGTAATAATTAACAAAAGTGTTGTTGCAAAATAGTTAATCTCATTATTTTGAGTTCGATCCTTACTGGCTACCCTCTTAAAATCCCTTCTTTTACATCTAACTAATATATAAAATTAATTATTTAAGAGTATTCAACTATGGCATAATAAAAATATTAAAATAATTCTGGGCACTTCGACGGTAAGCAAAATCAGTTACGACTGAATACTAAGTTGGTTCCTCACCGGGTGCCCCATACTTTCACCGTTCTTTCGCATAGAAAATCTTTCTGGCCATTTCGAAGAGGTCTGATGTCTAGGAAGCTTGTCTTGCTACCTCAATTATGAGTGAATTCGTTTATCAGTTCGCGCTCCATAAAAATATGGCCTTGTGCTATATTATAAGCGCTCTCAAGTAGAAAGATTTAATTATTCCGTTTTTTAATTTTGTCGTCGAGAGAGTCGAAGTTTATGAGTTTCATTTTTGGGGGTGGGCGTGGGATTTTCGATAGATCGTTTTTTTTTTTTTTTCAATACGGTTTTTCGTCTGTTCGAGATGCGTTGATGCTACGAATCAGATATGCATAAAATGGAAACCACCTTGGGATTCTGTTAACATATATTGTGCAAAAAAGATCGGCAACATTGTTGAGAATAAACACACTTTGTTGCATTATCGCAAAAAAATTCTGTTGTCTTATATAGCAACACTGTGAATATTTGTATAATGTCCTTTTTTTTTTTTTTGGCTGATATTTTCACGTTTCTTTTTCTTCAAAAAAAAAAAAAATCCATCTCATAAGTATTTAAAAAGGTTTTGTTGTACGAAACGATTTGGTGCAAAAGAATAAAAACAAACAAACAAAAAACCAAAAAAACCAAAAAGGAGACACGAATAAATAATAGAAACAAAACTCGCCGTATTCTTTTTCCTTTCCTACGATTGATGACTCTCGACTTCCGAAGACAGTTGCAGGAGTCAAAAAAAAAAAAAAAAAAAAAAGGAAAGAAAATCGAAAGCAGACAACAAAAGAATGGTAAGTCAGGTACATAGCCTGTACAAATTCTTGAATAACATGAAAATTATACAAATACTAGCAGTATGGCCCGGCGTTGCCCGTGCTTGATTCAAACCGTACGACTCATGCAGCAATCGCTGTCACTTGACTTAAAATATTTTTGCTCTTTCTTGCCTTTAAAGGAGTGCCCTTTTCCGTCCTGATGTTGCTACATGCCTTACTTCTTGCCTATCTCACACTGCGAATTTTTTCTAAGCTCTATACTAAACATTAAATCTGTTACGAAAAAAGAACTAAACAAAATGAACACAAAACGATCAGCTTTAAAAAAAAAAGGACTCGTAACTGGAAAAACCGAATGAAAAAAAGAATGTTAACAACAAATACTTTTTTCACACCCAACCCAGTTCTGCGGAATCAGAATCAACGTTGAGTTTAAGCAAGCGAATGGCCAATTGGAGTAAAGTGCCATGCAGATTTAAATTTTTCCCACTTGTGACGAATGCAGCTATCGGTTTTTTTGCTTGCTAGAATGCTAGTTAACATTCGTGTCAGTCGGCTGTTGGCTCTCACGCTGGCCAATAGAATCTTCCTGCCTATTCGTGGCAGCCAGCTATAGGCTCTCACTCTGGCCAGTAGAAAATAGCCGCAAACTACATGAAAACTGCCGTAGAAGCATGAAAATATCGATTATTTCCACTATCGATGGGAGTTGGGAAATGCAAAGTCGGTCTTGGCCTTTCCGCTAACTTGGAGCATGTGCATGTAAATTTTGGTGCAAATTCGTCGAAAATTGCGGCCGTGCATTCGTTAGACACACACACACACACACACACACACACACAAACACACACACACACACACAAACACGCACACACACACACATCCTGCCTTTTATAGATAGAGATAATATACACATCGTTTTTTCTTTGCTGAAGCCAAAATATTCGGGTTTATTGACTGATTTATTTTTTACGGTTTATCAACCTAGTGTATATCATTTAAAGACGATTTTTTTTTTCTTTTAGATTTTAAGTACAATTCTATTTTACGTGTGAATATTGTATCAACAATTTTGGGAGGGAGATAATAATGATTTTTAGATAGACGATTTACTATTTAACCCATATCTTGTGAGGGAAGAGGATGTGGATTCCTAATTTTCTCTACGATATTTGCGCGTAAGAGAATATAACGAACCCAACCGGAATTGAATCTCGTCTTTCCGACTAACAATTCCGATCCATTGAAGCACCGGCACATTCAAGCTCACGTTACCTGGTATTCGCAAGCGGTCACCCTTCTGGATACCGACTAGGGTTGACGCTGCCTAACTTTGGAAATCCTATAAGAATCGACGTTCATCGTGGTATTGATTTTAAGAAGAATTGGGTTTTTTTTTTACGTGTGAATATTGTATCAACAATTTTGGGAGAGAGATAGCAATGATTTTCAGATAGATGATTTACTATTTAACCCATATCTTGGGGGAAGGAGAATAGGTGGATTCATACTTTTTCCAAGGAGATTTGCGCGTAAGTGAATATCTTCTTTTTTTTTTCATGTACCGTGTCCTTTCAGGACGTAGGCGATCATGGCTTTCCTTCTCCCCTTAACACCTTTTGAATATTTTCTAAAGTTTCGTCCCTTATGCCACACCCTCAAACCCACGTTCTGTCATCTTCTTGCTTAAACCAGCCAAGTATGCCATGCGTTGATTTCCCTTGTCTCTATTTCTTTCTACTGGCCCTATGAGTATCAGATTCTCCAAGCCTTTCTTTCTCCATTACGTGAGTAAGGAACCTAACGGAAATCGGAACTCTGCTCTCCGACAAACAATTCCGAGCCGCTATCCATTGAACTATCGGCACATTCAAGCTCACGGCACCTGGTCTTCGCAAGTGGTCACCCTTCTAGATACCGACGAGGTTCGACGTTGCTTAACTTTGGTGATCGTACGAGAATCGGTGTTTCAACATGCTAACGGCCGTAACACTGTTCGGGGTCAGCGTGTATAGTTGCGTTTACACTAATACACCTAGAAAATTACGAAGCTATATCGTCTCCCCACTGCTAGCTCGAAGTTTATAGCAGGGTAAACGCGGGGGTCCCTAGTCTGGGTTAGAAACCAATCTGGCTAAAGGAAGCTGTAGCAGAAAAATACATAGAGACAGGAAATTAAAGCCAAATTCATACAATTTTTAGATCGCCTATAGCAGCGACCTCCGTGTCAACAGGTGCAACCAACAAAAAAACCAAACCCTAGTATTCTCGGTATTTACCTTAAAATTTCTCAGAGCGGATGTATCATTTTGACGGTCAACGTGGCTCCTTCAGAGCCTATAAGCTCGAGCAAAAATTCCCCCGTATACGCACAGTCGATTAGCTGTTTACCTCCACAGACGCGACTCTGATCTTCGGCATAGCCTCGTCTGGGTTCCTCTCTTCCCGGAGGCGGAGAGTGGTCGACAAGCAGATCCAGGCAGCGGACAGCCTGAATCATTTGAGCTTCAATATACGCACACATTCTGCTCTCTCTGACAGCCTATATGTGAAACACACGGACGTAGTTGTAGGCACCTAACTCTAATCTTATATATAGACCGATAGTAAGTAATTTTTTATCTGTTTTTTTATGATAAAATATCATTTACATTATTTAAAATACGCGGACTGTTATCTTCATCTTCATTGCCATATTCACAACGGTCTTCTTCAGATGATTGAAATTTCGAACCGAACACTTTATTTCGTCCATCGTGGTAGATTGTTCTAATTCCACGTGACGTGCCTCTTCCGGATAGCTCAGTTATTTCCATTTAACTCAACTCTCCAAGTTTTTTTTTTTGTTTTTTTTTTTTTTAGTTCCCCACTTCTGTATACTGGTATTGAACTCACAACGAAACAGCTGAAACGTTGTCAATATGGCAATGAAGATGAGGATAATAGTCCAAATAATGTAAATACTCATAATACTTCATCTTAGAGGTTTAGATAGATATTAAAGGATCGATACGGACTGGAATACTAAAAATATGGAGAAAATAGAAATGCCACACCAGAAGCTAAAAAAAAAAAAGCAGCGTACAACGACTGAAACGTTGTGAATATGGCAATGAAGATGAGGATAACAGTCCGAATAATGTAAATAATACAAGTAATCATAATACCTCATCTCAAAGATATAGAAAGATATTGAAGAAAAATTCCAATCACCTGAAGAAGGCCGGAGCGTACTATGGTCGAAACGCTGTGAATATAGCAATGAAGATGAGGATAACAGCCAGAATAATGTAAATAATATAATTAAACATAATACCTCATCTCAAAGATATAGACAGATACTAAAGAAAAATTCCAATCACCTGAAGAAGGCCGGAGTGTGCAATGGCCGAAACGTTGTGAATATGGCAATGAAGATGAGGATAACAGCTCGAATAATGTAGATAATGTAATTAATCATAATATCTCATCTCCGAGATATAAACAGATATTGAAGAAAAATTCCAATCACCTGAAGAAGGCCGGAGTGTGCAATGGCCGAAACGTTGGGAATATGGCAATGAAGATGAGGATAACAGCCCGAATAATGTAAATAATATAATTAATCATAATACCTCATCTCAAAAATATAGACAGATACTAAAGAAAAATTCCAATCACCTGAAGGAGGCCGGAGCGTACAATGGCCAAAACGTTGTGACTATGTGAATGAAGATGAGGATACCAGCCGAATAATGTAAATAATCATAATACCTCATCTCAGAGATATAGACAGATATTGAATATAAGGTGCTGAGATGAGTGATTGGTTCGGAATACCAACTGTATTTAATTTTTGGTGTGATTCATAATGGCTCGAAATATGAAATCCGAGAGCCAAATCCCAATTCCTCCTGAGTTCGTTATATTCACTTATACATCCCCCTGGGAAAGGTATTAATCCCCAAAATCTGAATTAATGAGTAAGG